CTGCTGTGTCTCCCTCAGTTTGCTGCCTGGGTCGATGCTGTGGTGTTTGTCTTCAGCCTGGAGGATGAGATCAGCTTCCAGACAGTCTACAACTACTACCTGCGGCTCTGCAGCTACCGGAACACAGCGGAGGGGCCAATGGGGCTGCACATACTCCCTGCACTGGTGACGTGCCTACACGGGCAAGAGAAGGCAGCATGCTAGCTCCGCGAGCACGTCGGGAGATCCCAGTCCGTAAGCTGTATGCGGGACAGTTACTCCGAGGCCCCTCGTCTGGGGCTCTGGAGGAGATGAGTAGTTCCGTCTCAGGCCATCTCAGCTTTCCCGCAGAGAGCTGCCATACTTCAGGGAGCCACAATCCTCTTCAAAATGCCCAAACCTGCTGGCGTTGCCTGCCTTCCTGGGCTCTGCCTGCAGCAGTTTGGCCCAGGCAGGAGCCAGGGCCTGGGTGAGGGAGGGTCTTCTGCTGGTGCATTGCCCTCTGTCCTCTGGGACAAGCTGCAGCAGGGAGGGTGTGGGGGGATGGCGACTTGCTGTGAGCACCCCGAGAAGGGGCCTGAGCTGTGGAGCACCGTCTCCCCTGAGGTGCTGCCAGTGCACGTGGATGTGGGGAAGAGCAGCAGCAGCCCAGAACTGCCCTCCCCTGCCCCTGCCCCTCCCCTGCAGGACTGGGGACTGGGACGGAGGCCATGAGGGAACTGTCATGAAACCGTAGCTGAGGCTGCCAGTGGAGACAGGAGACACAGTGCCTGGAGCCCCCACTGGGCACCTCAGACGCGCCCGAGCAAGGAGCTGCCAACGGAGGGGGCTGCCGGGAGAGAGGGCAACCCTTGACCGTGATTCCTGCCTTGCGCAGCTTGCATTGGAGGCAGCCTACCCTCTGAAAGCCTCGCCGTGGGTGCCCAGGAGACAGGGAGGGGCAGCAACGAGGGCATTACTGCTGATGTCTGAGCTCTGCTCCTCCAAAATCAGTGTCCTTCCTGCCTGTAGGCCGTAAAGCACAAGCAGGAGGGAGCCTGGGGCTGCAGAAGTTGTCTGGGTGTCAGAGAGCAGGAGCAGGGGACAGAGGATGTGAGGGGAAAAGGTCTTGGCAGGACCCAGTTCCTGAGCAGTGCAACCCATTCTGGCGAAGAAGAAACCCTGAGGCTGGGAAGACAGGGGGTGGCAGCGGGAGGGGAGTCGCAGGGGTGTCTGCTCTGGACCCCAGATTAAGCGTAGAGCAAAGTTGTTAAACTTTTGATACTTAAAGATTGTGGAATTAATGTTAGGACTGAGTGATCTTGGTTCAGGACGGTGCTAGGCTTGCAGGCATGTGCTGTGGAGGCTCAGGAGTGGGGCAAAGGAGTCATGATCATTGCTGGCCCAGACTTAGAGCCACAGCCTTGGTACAGTCATGCTAAGCAACCCACTGGAGAGTTTGAGGGGAACTTCTTCACAGTGTGAGTCCCAGGACTCCTTCAGCTCCTCCTGAGAGGGTTCATTTGCAGCCCCTGCGTGTCCCTGGCATGTCTTCAAGGAAGCAGATTCCTCATGGGAAGGTAGTTCTTCCAAAACATGCGAGCATTTAGCAGCCATCTGGAATACAAATTAAGCCTGTTTTTTAGGGTTGTCCACCAAGGCCTCAACTGTGAGTGCATCCTAGCAGATTTGGTTTTCCCAGTTAACTGAAGATGATTTCGCCCTTTTGATTCTTTAGTCTGTAGGGTATGGCCTTAAGACCTAAAATGATGGAGACTGGCAAATCCATTTTACTCTGCAACTGAGGCAGACTTGCAGATGAGCGCGCTGTCTCGTTGCAGCAGCCGTGACCAGTGACACAATGGACAGATGGCAATGTTAGTAATTTCTAGCGCATGTAAACACCGGGCATCCTCATGCAGATGAGGCTGCAGTTCGACCCAAGGTCAGGCTGTTTGCACCTTTGCCCCCAGCGCTGTCTGCTGTCACTGAGTGTCCTGGTGTCTTCAACAGTGGCACTGTTCATGACATGGTTATGCGAAATTGTGGTGGTGTGTCCCGTTCCTAACGTCCAGGCTGCCTTGCCTTGCCAGCCACACCTCCCACTGGTTTCTGCCCTCTGTCCTCAGAAGCGTCAGTGGCTGGATGTTGGGAAGGTTGAATAAGGTTCACTGAAAAAATGGTTCATTTAGAAAGGTTCATTTAACAAATAAATTTTTCTACAAATGTGGAACTGTAATCTAAGAGATTGGTGGGATGGGAGGTGTGCTATGAAGGTGGGTGTCTGAGTGTGTGAAGGGAGGGAAGGAGGTCAGGAGGGTGCTCTGGGACCTGCAGATAGATGGAACCCAGGTGCTTGCTTTTTAACCTCCTTCCCTTCGGTTTCCAGATGCCATCAGTGCCACGAACCCCCGGGTCATTGACGACTCTCGGGCGCGGAAGCTTTCCAATGATTTGAAGCGCTGCACGTACTACGAGACCTGTGCCACCTACGGGCTGAACGTGGAGAGAGTCTTCCAGGATGGTACCCGCGGCTGGTGGAGGGTGTCCGGGCGAGACAGGGCAGCAGTGCTGTCCCAGGGAGGGGTTTACACTACCTAGACTGCCGGCTCTCTGTTGGAATGGCGTGCTGCCGTGAGGCCAAGGGAGCTAGGCACACAGTCGTGCGCAGCGCCATTGCTGTACGCACGCAGGCTGAGTTCGAGGATTAGGACGTGCCGCGTGTGTGGCAGGGTTGCGGGGTTGTGGCACGGAGGTGTTGTGGCACGGAGGGACGTGCACGAGGGAGTGCAGAGCAGGGCCGGGCAGTACCCTTCTCCTGCCTTTCTCGCAGGGGCTGTGCTCTGGGCAGCCCCTCGCTCTGGAGAGCCGGGGGGCTGCAGGGGATGGTTACATCCCTGTGGTGGGCCTGTGCAGCACAGCAGTATGTGTGAGCCTGCAGAGGACTTGGGAGGCTGCAGAGAGGATTTTGATTGCCTTGGTGGGGGAGAGGAGGAAGCACTGCCGAACGTTTGTTAGGTAGGGGAACCTTTGTTAGCAAGGACAGCCAGATGGGCGGCTGTTCCTCATGGGAACAGTGTGGAAGAGTATTTCTGCTTAGTCTTGGAGAGGAGTCTGCATGACAGGGATGCTCTACGTGGAAGAGGGAACCTACACCACATCCTAGGAGTTTGCAGTCTGCTTAAATAAACTGGCACCCTGCGCTGTAATAGGGCTGCATATTGCCCTGTCCCCTTCCTCTACCTTGTCTTCTGGAGAGCAGCTGGGGGTCTGTGAGGAAGAGTCTGTGCAGAGCTGAGCAGCTAGATGGGACAGAGTTGCTTTTGGAAAGGAGGAGAGCTGTGCTATCAGTGTTTGCAAGTGGAACAGGCGCATGGAAGAAAGTTTGGAAATAGTAGTGCAGCAGGACTGAGCCTGAAGGCAAAAATCCAGCTTGGTTCATTGCAGCGAGCAAGATGGGCTGAGGGCGAGGCACAGGACTGAGGCTGTCATCGGCTTCAAGTGCCTCCATCCTCTGAGCTGGAGCTGGTGATCCTCCTTCCCCTACATAAGTCTGTCACCTTCCAGTAACCTCCTGTTGCAGGGCTGAGGGTCGTAGTCACGGTGCTGCTCTTCTTATGCAGACGCATGTAGAGATGTTCCGCTCTCCTGCTGCTGGTCCACCTCTGAGACAGTCTGAGAAGTCAGCCCAGAAAGCGACCTTTCAAACTGTCCCACCTAGCGCCTGGCAGCGAACCCCTCCTCATCCAGCAGCCTCCGCATTGCCTTGCTGTTCCCGGGGGAAGCTGGGGTGTCCCTGTTGGGCGGGTTGCTCATGAGTCTCCCCTTCTTCCTCGTCCTCATGAGTAATGGAGGAATGGTGGAAGGAACAGCTGGGAATAGCTGATGATAGCGAATACTGCAGCGGACCTGGAAGGGGAGGATCTGCTAAACCAACTCAGCAGTTTGCAGAGCAAGTCTGGAGAGAGCAACAGCAGGTGGGCTGTGGGCACAGCTGATCCTGGCTTCTGGAAAGTGTTTGGCACTGTGTGTCACCAAATTTGTTCAACTTGTTCCTTCAAATTGGTTCTGCTGTGTTGCTTCTCTGAAGGACAGTACAATGAGGAATAGCCGCCGGTGGGTTTGGGAAGGGGCTGGGGAAGGCACTGCAGGATTAGGTGCTGCTGTCTGTTAGGCTGCTTCTCATCCTTTTTTAATCTCAAGATGGAATGAATTGTGCTCTGGGGTTTTTTTTTCCCTTTGTTGGCCATAGCAGCATAGACAACACAACTTTAAGCAATGCAGTGTGCGAGATGAAAGCTCTCATGTGAGACTGGGAATCCGCTTCTAGCACCAGTGCTGCTTAGCAAGCTTGGTGGTAGACCTTGAGCTGCTGCTCGAAGGCTCAGGAGTGAGCGCCGGCAAAGCGCTGTGCTTCATCTTTTGTCTGGGTTTATTCATAGCCTGTACCTGTGGTCAGGAAGGAGGCAAGCGAGCAGGTTTGTCCACGTGAGGAGCAGTGAGGCTGAGGAAATCCAGAAGACCCCAAGGAGTGTGTTAATGGGAGACTGTTCATACAAACCCGGCAAATGCTGATGCTGCACGGAGCAAGGAGCGTGGGCTGCCCTGCCAGGTGGGCTGATGCTGTCCCTGGGCCAGTGAGCAGGGGAGCACTGATTTGAAGTCCAGATGGATTCTTGCCTTCGTACAGGGCAGCAGGAGGACCATTGCTGGAGTGTTGTCAAACTCGGGTGTCAGCGCTTCAAAAGGACACAGAGAAACTGAAAAGATTACAAAAAAAAAAAGCTACAAAAATTAATCAAAGGCTGGAAAAAATACCTGATAGTGAGACACACTAAAAGAGACTATCTATTGAATAAATCAAAAAGAAGACTGAGAGGTGACTTGATTACAGTCTTAAGAGTATCTATGTACCTATCTACATGGGGAGAAAATCACAGATACTAAGACTCTGCAGGCTAGCAGAGAGTTGATGCTAGAAGCCAAAGCCAGTCAAATTCAAATTTTAAAGAATCCTTACTTTTTTTATAAATAGCTCTCTTTTCATTAACTGTTGGAAAAAATGCATAAGGAAGTGCTGTATTCTGCATCTCTCGTACTTTCTCCAAATCCAGACAACATCCCTTTGCAGAGGAGACTCGCCGCATACCCAGGTGACTGGTGCAGTATAGGCTGGGTGAAGTTTGGTGGCTGGCAGCACACAAAGGTCAGCCTGGAAAAGAGGGAGATCCTTCTGGCCTTTGGGTCTGTGTATGCAGGAGCTGTCCGCGTTGCTGCGGTTCCCTGTGCCGTGCCGTAGGCTGCCTCTGCGTGCCGTACGGTGCCCCGTGCCTGCTGCTGCCGTTTTGCCGGTGTCGGTGTGCTGGCCAAGTGTGCTGCTCGGAGCTCTGGAGAAAGCAGTGTGGTAACTGGGAGTTGCAAATGGAGCAGAGGGACGCACCGTCGCGTAGGAGATCTGGAGTAAATCTCAGGTACTCAGTGCTCTCACCTGCCTGCTCAGCTGCAGGACCACACAGACGCTCCCGAGCACGGCTGTGGAGAGGGAAGGAATGGAGCAGGAGGCCCTGGCGAGGAGCTGAGGAGAGCTGAGCCCAACACGTCGGCCTCAGCCATCACTGGCATCTGAAACTATTCAAGGGTGTCCAGGATCCAGTTTCAGAGGAAGCGGACTTGGTGGGATGAGGTATTTTGGCAGTGGGTAGGCAGCTTTTCCCAGTGAGCGCTGGTGGGTCCTGATGCATCTGTTTTGGGATCTGGTGGAGTGCTGGCAGTCATGGATTGTGTCAGGAGCTTGCCCTGAGTGGCGATCCGGTTACTCATCTTCCTATGGTTTCTCCAACACAAGTTGCTCAGCCCAGACCGTGGTAGACCTGCCCCATGCAGGCAGGGGAAGATGTTGATTTCCCACAACAGAAACAGGAAGACTTCTCTACATGGTGGTCTTTGCTTTTGCTGCAAAGTTGGCTTGCTTGTCCATGCTGTGCAGAGCATGTGCTGCAGCCCTGTTCCCAGAGAGCCCTTCCATGCCACCGTCTGGTCGAACAACGAGCAATCACTGATGACCTTTTTGGATTGCAAGTTAACGTTGTGCTGGTTTAGCATGACAGCTTGAGGGAGTGACCATCCTGCCTCTCAGTATTCAGTTGGAGGCTAAGGCTAGCGCTCTTCCTTCCCAAGCTGCTGTCTCTGCAAACGCCCTGTGGTCTGCACGTGGTGCTGCTGAGCATGGAGGAAGCTCCAAGGAGGAGAACCTCGGACCTCCACATTTACCGACTGTTCAGAGGTTCTCCAGGAGTTGGGTGCCTCCAGTTGTTGGGGTGCCCTCCTTCCTGCTCAGTCAGGTGCAGCAGGGACCCCTCCTCCACGCCTAGAGCAGTTCCTGGGTATTCGGTTTGTGGTTGTGTTGTGCAGGGATCTAGACCACGTATGTGACGGTGTGTGCCACTGTAATTGTGTTGAATCTTTTGGAGCGCTGAAGGCTTTGTCCAGGCAGTCAGGCTTCTGAAGGTCGCTGTGAAAAGGACGCATGGCGTGCAGGAAGCGGGGAGCTTTCTGCTTGCTGTTTTCTCGTGCATGGTCTGGCAGAAGTCCCCCTGGAAACGCTGCTCACTGCGTGGGAACCGTACTTCTCTCATCCTTTCCAAGTTGCTTCCAGCACCAGATGTTGTTGCAGTTACTGCTTCTCTGAAAAGATGGGACAGACTGCCTGTGGCTTCAAATACCGCAAGGAGACGACCCTGGCAGAAGCAGGAGGAGCGGGCTGTGTGCTGCAGCGTCCAGCGCACAGCCGATGCCAACTGCAGTTTTAGAACTTCACCAGGGGTGGGCTCGCCCTGAGGGGTGGGTCCTTGTGGTCCCAGTGAGGTGGGAGGCTGGTACTGAACATGCCTTCTGACTCCTTGGCTCCAGACAGGTATGATTAAAGAGCTTTTCTTCTCAAAATTGCCTTCACAGAGCTCCTGTATGCAGGAATCTCCTAGAGCTTAGAGGATGCTAGGACAATAGCAACAAGCCAGCGCTGTGGGGGTGCCTCAGCTCTTGGGCTTCATTTTAAGAATATTTCCGTACCAAGCAAAGGTTAGAGAGGGAATTGTTGAGAGCCCCTTGGCAGTGATTATCTCGGCGTTGTTCCTGAAGGGGAGGAGTGACCTCGCTGAAGGGGGAGGAGCGCACAGGAGGGACAGCAGCGCTGCTGCCCAGTGCTGCGGCGGCTTGCCTGGCTTTGCCTCTGCGGCAAGGCGC